AGGTGCTCATGCTTCGCATCAAAATAAGATCTACACCCATACCCACACCCACACCCACACCCACACCCACACACCCACCCACACCCATACCCACACCCACACCCACACTCACACCCACACCCGCCCACACCCAGATGTGGATCAACCTCGACCGAAATTAAACTTCGTCTGATGTCGAACAATTATATTTCTTCACCATGACAGATATTGCTTTGACATAAGAAAAAAAATATTGATATTACGTATATTTGATTCAAAATGACATACTTAGATTACCAAGTCGAAGTACGGAGTATTGTGTTCACTGGTGTCAAAAATAAAACAAACTCCGAAAAAAAGATATGCCAACTACATAGTTATCACTGAAAATTTTCTCGAGTATGTGACAATTCTATCATGTTCGACTTTGATTTCGCAGATACATTATTTTGAATAGGATTATTTTATTTTCGACATGAAAAGACACATAGTTAAGAGAAGCTTCTATTTATTCGCGAGAAAAAGTAAAGCGAAACATTTACACTGCTTTTATTATATTATCAGTTAGCGCATTCTCTTTATATAATTTCCTCTTGGAAATAAAAAAAAAGAGAAAAATGATGGTGTAGCAACTGTTGTATATGCATGCAAGTAAGTCATTTCTTTAAAAGAGCATGCAAGACTGAGCTTCTCGTCTAATAAACTAAAAGTAATTTTTTTAAACTTTTCTCAAAGTTAGAAATGCAATGCGCACGTTACGCCGGAGCGGTTAGATGAAGACGAAAAACAAGAAACTCAAGAAAAAAGAATCGGACAAGTATACAAGAACACAAGAATCTGGCAAGAACAATGTTAAGATTGTCGACTAATGATTACTTAATCTAATAAATCAGACGCAGAAGCCATTGATGAATATTCCAAAGACGATCAATATGGAAAGTTTCAAGATATTAAAAATCGATTAAATTAAATTCAGTCTGTGAAGTAAAAAGAAATAATCTTGAGAAGTTAACATTCTAAAATAATTAAGATGAATGAAATACTTGGATTGAAATGAATCCATTAATAAGAGAAGTTGGCATCTCAAATTATATTTCAATTGATTATAAATACTTACGCCATGTACAATCAACTTCAGATGCAATAAATATATTTTCAAGAAAGAGAATTATAGAAGATAATTATACGAAAGAAAAACTGTAAACATATCAGTCAAGATATCTTTCAGAAAGTTCTTTCTAAAAACTATTACAATTGCCTATTTGATTAGTTTATTTATTAAACTACTTAAAAGAAAAAATCCTCTGAACTATGTAGTTTTATCGCGTTCTGTTTGTGATTATTCATTAAGTCATCAGTACTTTCAAACTTGAAACTTGAATTCAATTGAAATTTTAAGATCCTTCATCTGCAGCCTCACCTGATGCGCTTGTGCTTGTGTGTAAGATTTTGTGAATCATGATTCTCCAGAGTGATTTCGGTTTGAAAGTAGAAATTTGAGACTTAAAACTTGAGATCTTAATTGAATTCAAGTTTTTGGTATGACATATATGAGATGTTAAGTTTCTTCATGTTCATACTAAACAGGCATGCCTTTTATTTCAAGTTAGACCGAGTTCCTTGTTCTGTCTAGTTATATTTTAAAACATTTCCGATTAGTATTGAAACTCATGGAAAATGCTCTACTACTAGTCTCAAACAAATGCAAAAATACAACGACGCACAGCAATTAAAAGTCTGAAATTTTGCACACATGATACCAAGTTCTAAGTATGTTTACACATTAAAGTAGAATAGTTACGCTCAAATAACAGCTTTTAGAAGAACCGGTCGAAAAAACGTTTGGACGTTCACCATACAAATAACACATCGTGACTAATTTCTTGACGCTTTGATATATCCTTGTCTAGACTGCTATAAAAACAGTTTTCTTTTGTATTATTTACTTTTGCAATTAATAAGTGTCGGTGTGGGTGTGGGTGTGAGTGCAGATGTGGGCATGTGGATGCGTTTATTCCATCTGATACTCGCAGCCACACTGACACCCCACACCCACATCTACACCCGTCAAACAAGCATAAAATTTCTGAAAATTTCGTAAGTTCGACATGAAAAAACCTTCATAACCTTTACTATTTAATACCAATAAGTCCAGTTTTTGACGCGCTTTAATTTGGTATAGAGTACATTTTTGATATCATTGGGATGCTTTATGTTATAGAGGGGGCGCAAAGGTTATTTCACACCCTGTACAAACTGCAATAAAAGGGAAAAGGAAAAAATATTGATTGGTTAAAATTTACACCTAGTATGTGCTTCAGAACGACAAAAAAGGCAGATGCAATACAGTAGAAGTCGGCAATGATCTGTAGTTATTTATACCCACTTTTTTACTGTAAATTCTAGCTGTATTAGTATTCATAGGCTGTTGGAAAATGTAGTGGCGCAGCTACCATGGGTGCATGAGATGTGATGTTCCCTCTGAAAACGGTTCCGCATCTGCTATTAAAGTCTCTCATCTAGCCAAAACCGAGATTTGAGCTCCCTCATCCCTAAAAAGTTTTTCTTTCACCCACTTGTCCCTCTGTAAAACTTTCCTGTCTACGCCACTAATATTTTTTTAAAGAGATTTAAACAAGATATATTTTTTCAAGGGTAAAAAGGAAATACTTCTTGTATGCTTTGCTTTATATTTATCTTATTTTCTTGTTATCCTCTTATATATTGTTGGTGTCATTTTAACCACATTTCTATATTTTAGATTTTTTAATTTCATCACAATATCACGTGAAATCAAACAAAGAATTATTTCTATTATACCGTTATATTTATCAAAAGAATATCCAGCTTATAGTGAACTTATTAAAGCAATTGAATATATACCAGATGATAAATTTGATCAAGTAATAAATGAACCATTATTATCTATTAATCAATGTATTGATTATCTACTTGATGAAATTTTGTTTTCTATCAATCAACATTATCCAATTAGTCATGAACAAGGTGTACAATTAGATCGTTTCATTAATGAAATTAAAACTATTTTTATTGATTTGATAAAAAATAGTGAAAAATTGAAAAATGATATTGAACGTTTAGAAAGTCGTATTGAATGTCTAGAAAATGATAGAACTGAAACAAAGGAAAGTATTAAATGCCCGGAAAATAATATAGTTGAAGCAAAAAGACGTCGTACAATAGCAGAATTATTAACACCATTTATCAAAGAAATTAGAACTGTCATGATTAATCAACATGTACCTGCTTATTATTATTCAAAATCAATAATTAATGCATGTTTATTACGTTCACAAGGTCAAATTATATCATGGGAAGTAGCTGATTTTAACAGAGATAATCGGCAAACCAATTTTGATATAAATATATTTAATGATTTTGAATTAATTATCAAAAATCAAACTGATTCATTACGAATTGATTATGATACTTTACTTGAATTTTTATTAGATAAAATGGATCGTAATGAAGCTGAACATGATACTGTAAAAACATTTTTACGTTATGATGCACATGGTAATAAATCATTCAATGAATATCTATCGTCCATTGGTATACCTCATGTATTTGATATGAATCAAAAGTTATGCTTGGAAAGTTTATATCGTAATCATTTTGTTGCTCATTATCATACTATATGATGACAAATGAATAACCTAAATTACGTACAATTGTTGTCTCATGTTAAACAATTAATATCTTTTTTGCTAGTGCGAAATTTATTAGAAAATAATTATGTTTTTTCATGAAATATATAGAATGATTTTTGAAAGACAATTTCCTTGCTGCTGATGATTTTCTTGTTTTTCGTCATGTTCATTTTTTTGGTATTTTTTTGTGAAATAAAGCGCATTTGTTTCTTGATTTACACGAAGCTCCAGAAACTGTTTCTATCGATCACAGTAGAATAGAACAAAAAACAAAGACTTATATAAGCATAAATACAAATACGAATTAGCTAGAACAACTCACATACAGATATACTTTCTGATAACATTTTATTCTCTCTAACGAAGTCAAGAAGGATTTAACATTTGTTACTAAAATATTTTGATGTTTACATACTTTTAATCCTGGTTTTTGATATTTAAGTAATACAACAAAATAAATATTTGTATGAATACGACAACAAAAAGAAATAAACCAATCAATAAACATATTTACTTCACATGTTTACAAAAAAGAAAAAGTTGAACTTATTTGTGTCAATATCTGTTAAATAAAATTAGAAAATATTTTTATTTTGTCAATTGATTATATATTAATAGAGAATAGAAGTATTATCTCTGGATCGTGCTAATCGTGGTCTACGCATTAATGTTATATTTGAATATTTAGATGTTCGAGTCGGTATTCCTTCTTGTGGATTTTCATTGATTGTTGTAATGGTTTACACGATTTACTTTCCGCGGATTTACTTTCGTTGATTATTTTCAATTTTAATTATATTTTTTCCACAGAAAATTATGATTTTTGTCACCGACGATTTACCTTGCGTTAATTACTTAAAGATAATTTTCCGATTAACGATTTTTTCGTACGATGATTTACTTTCCATTGATTAGTTCAACGAAAAGAAACGAGCAGATAAATATTCACACGAATACTCATCTGCTCGTTGAGCTAATCTATGGAAAGTAAATCATCGTACGAAAAAGTCGCTAATTGGAAAATTATCTTTATGCAATTAACGGAAAGTAAATCCTCAGTGAGAAAAATCATAATGTTCCGCGAAAACAAATCAACGCAAAGTAAATCGTGTATACGTGTTGTAATTATTGGTGTTATTCGACGAAAATAATCAAATGGCGATAAATCATTTGTTTGATGGCAGCTTTGAGAATATCTTATAGGATTGATTCGTCTTTGTTCTTGTTTCGAACATAGACTATGATTAAGTTCATTTAAAATAAGAATATTCAAAGCATGTAATTGTTGATAAGGTTGAAGAGCTATAGTTACATTATATACCGGTATAGACAGACGGTGATGACGTATAAATAAGTTCGAGTATCTAATTAGTACAACAACTAAATATCAAAATATTTTGACAGTGAAGATGTAGAAGAATTTTAGTCAAATACACTTTGTTGGTCATCTAAATCAAAGATATTAACAATCGATAGACTTTCAAAATCTCTATTTAAAAAAAACTCACATCAAGTCATTTTCTTTAAAAACTAAATATCATATCGATAGGTCTACTCTCAATGGATCTCCTCAAGTTGTTCCGTAACTACTTGACCTGAAGCGGGGAATAAAAATTTAAGTGCAATGTGCTCTAACTCCTAACTGCTTTCACTTGTATCTATGGCTGGCCACTTACGAGATGGGTGTGGGTGTGGGATGTTATTCTTTCTTGAATTCTCAACCACACCCACACCCTTTAAATTTTGAATTCTGCTTGGTAGGCATTCTGCAGCCCCTCTTTTCAACACATCGATATCGTTTCAGCACCTTTCAATGATTTCGGGTGCTGAGATACTGTAGTTTCGCCCTTGGCTAAATCTGATGTCTACTTCAGCAAATGGAGAACAAGATCTGTATTTTTTTCTTTCAAATATCGTATCTGTCCATCTAGGCATTTAGCTCTCTACATTATTTATCAAACAGTTCGTTTGTACGTAGTTTGGTGTTCGAGGAATCGTTTTCCTGGCACAAGATACAATGTCTCATCAGTAGGTTGGATAGACGAGCCTATTATTTAGGATTGGTTGTGCCGTCAGTTTTTAACTGCTGTCAAATGTATCAAAAGACCAATTCTGCATATTTTATAACGGACATTATTACCACATCTCAACATGTATCATTAAAATGGCAATGGATAAAGACGTGCAACTAGAATGTCTTTTACACCAACACAACTTAAAAACGAATTCAGCTTCATTTGACAAAGTTAAATTTGCATTCTTGGTAAGACAAATGATTTATTCATTAAAAAAGAACTGTTTTATAGCATAGATCAAAGAATTATGGGGAAACATATGTTAGAACTTCATTCTCAAGCAAATTTTGCTACAACAAGAGTCTATCCATTCGATCCTCGAGCATGTCCAAAGAAAAATTGCTGTCACTTTCATCATCCATCTCTTTACGTGCCGGTCAAGAATCTAATTCTATTGCTCGATCTGATTCGAAAGACATTTTTTCATTGGGATCAAAACATTTCATCATCTCGTATTATTCATCGCTGTTCATCTTGTATAAATTTATCGACTAATCGTAAATGACATTATAGAAAAATTACGTTTTCAACAATACTCTTGCAACTCTGAATCCCATTACGACAATCCTCGAAAGTCCAACTGATATAATATAGAAAGAAAACTACCTTATCAAAGTTTCATAATACACTTATACTTAAAACATTCTCAATATTCAATCTGACTATCAAACATTGCTGAATTGTACGGCAACAAGTCAGTATTTCGGAGAAAGCTCTCTTTCTCTCTCATTTTTCTCTTGTCTTTTTTTGTGTGAATTTGGTGACATAGGTTTTAACTTAGCTTCGGTGATAATAAATGATACTTCTGCTTCCGATGTCACTAAAGCTGCAATAAATTCCATCAAATATACTTCTTTTCCAAATTCAGCAATCTTAACTTTAAATGGTTTCAATGCTGTAACTACGGCTATTAATAATCATATGATATCATCTCAACAAATTATCAACAAGCGAAAACGAGCTGTAGAACAATCGTACGGTGAGAGCTTAACAACCATGGATGTATTACTCAAACTGAACGAAAAGGATAAGAATAAAAAATAAAGAACAACAAAACAACTGCAAAGTCAATCGATAAAACAACGGTAATTACACTATTTTATGCTGCGGAAACTTCTTTCAAATTTGAATCTCAACCTTGAATTTTTTGAAACATAAAATTTCCTAAGTCTTTCTAATCTGTTTTTTTTAGCCAACGAAGAAAACACAAATTCCAAATGCGAAGATCATCAATGACGTTTTCGTAATGAATAACGTTTCCTCAAATGAAAGTGAAGAAAGCTGTGGAAAATTGATTAATCTCTTGTCTAACATCTATCCTCAAACTCCCATCACGCTTTCATATAATATTGATCCATTATAAAGTACTTCAATTCATTCACATACAAAAACAAACAAGTTGATAAAATAAGTATCATTTTATTTATCTTGTTATTCGATTATAAATCCTGGATTAGTTAACTTCACGCCATGTATATCATGTTCACGAGCTGCCTGTTTTCAATGCATATCGGACGCTTTTATTACAAATCAAAGAAATTTTTACTTGTGAGTGTTGTTATCTGCAAAGTGCATTTACGTATTCTCAACTATAATATTTTATTCTTTGTCTATTTTTCAATTCACATTTCTTATTTATTTTTGTATACCTAACTTCGTAGCTAATTTTTTATTCATATTTTTCTTTTCAAATATTTGGATACATCAAAAACATGATTGAAATACTGTAAAGATCTCTTATGAATTGCATAATAACGGCTCCAGGAAAGTAACTGTAGTAATTGATTTACTCCGTGTGGGCTAAATCAATAATCAGAGAGGTGGAATTCTAAAAACCAGCATAGATTCGTCTCTAAAAAATATTTAAAAAAGCGAAAAACATAGTTTTATAGAGCTCTATCTGCTTTACAGAGTAAGTAGCGAAAGTTTTTTGATCCGATGAAAAATAGAAAAGTTATAGGAGAAAAAAAACTATTGAAAAAACAATTGATTTACCCCATCATACCCTATATGTCAAATTATTTTTCTTCTAGAATATAGCTGTTATTGTGTAGTAGTAGAGTGAGGTGACATCTTATATCACAGCCTGTCAGGTGACTTTGTAGCCTAATCCAGGGGGATTCTTTGTGTCTATTATGGCGAAAGCAGTGTAGTACTCGAGAATCCTTCTACGTGTGCCACTTTGAAATTTACGGAGAGCCTTTCTAGTAGTGCGCGGATGTTAGAAAGAGTCGAGCGCAGCGAATAGCAGTGCGAACGAATTTATTGAGCCAACCAAATGAAAAGAAAACTAATTTACATCTTATTTTTAAATCACTTAATTCTATCTATCGTTCCTGTAACATGAGGATATGATGGCGGTAGTGGTTTTTGTTGGATAGCAAGCGCCTTTTCTAGAAATGAAAGTGCTTTGAGATTGTCACCCATGCTGGAATACGCAAGACCGACGTTGTTGTAGGAAATAGCCAGATCAGAATGATTCGAAGGCAAAACGTTTTTCGTAATTTCCAGATCTTTTTCGTAAAATAAAAGTGCTTCTTTGTATTGTCCTTGGTTCCGCTTCATCACTCGAAACTGGTAATAATAAACGCTCTATCACTGTCGCTGAAAGCTTGTTTGAAATGACCCATTTTTAGCATTAGATAACCCAATCGATGCCATCCTGTGGATCCATAGAGCTCTCATTTTATGTGTTTGGTGGAGCAGTCAGTTCTGGATCATTCTCATCTGTGAGAGTCAGTTGAACTTCCCACAGACGACTACTGTTGACCGTCTGTGTGATTTCATTGACATGAAAAACGATGTGCATTGAAAAGAGAATTTCTTGTTCTTGTGGAAAAGCACTATAATCGTTGATAAGCGCGAATGGATTATTCGAAGCCGATATTTTACTCGAATCGATTGTCATAATAAAAA